CTTGGTGTACAAAGAAAGAGACTCGTGTCCTACAATCCTCTACTAAGGCTGAGTATCGCGCCATGGTCGGGGGGGGGGGGTGGCAGAGGTAATGTGGTTATGCTATATCATGGATGCACTTTGTATTCCTCTTTCAAAACTGAGAATTTACTGCGATAATGAGTTCATGATATGTGTCATGAAGAATCTGGTTATACATGACCGCACGAAGCATGTTGGCTTTGATTGTCACTTCATCCGAGATGAGGTAGTGGCTGGCACAATGACCACTCATCATGTTCCGTCTTCTGAACATCTCGCTGGCATCCTGACGAAACCGCTTCCGCCTACTCCATTCCATTACTTATGTTCCAAACTGTCCCTCGTATCCGTTGATCAGCTTGCGAGGGATAATAGGAATAGAATCGTAATATTATTTTATCTCCTTATTCTAGTATATTCATATTTCACTTCCTACCTTATTCAGGGTTCTATATCATGTACTATAAATATCACTTTAGAACCCTTTATTCAATGAGATCAATATTTTATCAAATTGTATCATATAAATAATACATTGATATAGAAATAAAAAGTGAGACTTATATATTTAAAATATATATCACGTTTTTTTAAATAATAATTGAAAAAACACAAATAAAATTATCGGGTGACTTAAAGAGTATTCCCTAAATAAGAATGAATTAAAAAAAGGAGGGGTAATAAACTCCTAATCGGATAAAAATTGAAAGAATGAACCTAGGGTTCTACCCATAGTTTTAAAAACCGGACCGGACCGGCCGGTTCGGACCGTGAACTGGCAAACCGGTGGTCCAACCGGTCCGGTCCGGCCCTTTGGACCGTAACACGCATCGAACCGGAGCGAACCGGTGGGAACCAGTGTGAACCGGTGTGAACCGGCCGGTTCGACCGGCCGAACCTTTTTTTTTTGCGTTTTTTTCCAAAACATGCAACCATGGGGGTTTGAACCTAAGGCCTCTTTGACATTTGGTTGAGTGTCTAAACATCAAAGCAAGGATGCTTTTTGTTACACATTCACTTATTCTTTTATAATATTTCATAATTAAAAAAGTATTGTATAAAAATTTCTTTTCAATTTTAAAAATATAATTTTATATAGCTATGAATCAAACACAAAATCATTGATTCTATTGATATTATTACAAAATGGATATCATGCAAAGATTTCATTTAAGGTTTTTTTTAATATTAAACAACTTATTTGAAAAAATAAAATCAAGTCTTCATTTATAAAATTTTAAATATTCTTTTTCTAATATGTAAATTTTATTTTTTAACTTAGTAAAATAACTCAAATATTTTAATATAATTTTAATCAAATGTTATAAATTACTTTCTTTAGATATTTATAAATGAGAAAGTGTGTGTGTCTATATGTATGTTTATACACACACACACACACACACACACACACACATATATATATATATGTTTATTTATTTATATAATTTTTAAAAATGTTTAAACCACCGGTTCGATCAGTTGAACCACTAGTTCGACCAGTGAACCAGTACCTTGACCGGTTCGGTCACCGGTCCGTTTCTGAAAACTATGGTTCTACCCTAGCATTGCCCAAACTAGACTCGAACCCGTGCGTTGCACGGCCCAATTAAAAGCTAAATAATGAGTGAAAGTATTTTCGTTGGAATTCGATATGATTAAATTAACATAAGACTATAGAATGAAATATTTCAGTGCAGGAAATATGAATGATATAGATTGTGAAACTATTACATTATAAGTTTTGTAAACTTCTTTATAAACTACATTGGCGGTTTGGTTCATCTTAGCTGGGTCTTCATTCCATATCAAGATCTTTAAACCTCTGCGATTTGTGACACGTGAAAGCGCTACATAAAGTTGGCCATGACTGAAAACTGACTTCTTCAATAAAAGCCCAACACGGACAATGATTGCCCTTGACTTTTATTAATTGTCATTGCATATGAAATCATTACTGGGAATTGTTTCCTTTGAAACTTAAAAGGAATCCTAGTATCTGACGGTGTAAGCAACAGCCGTGGGATAACAACTTCTTGTCCAATATTTTTCCCCGTAAGCACCGTAGCTTGAATAAGATGATTGCCCAGTCGAGTAACAATCAACCTAGTCCCATTGCACAAACGTGAAGATTGATCAATATGGAATAGAAATATATACCATTTGTTAAGTTGCTAAGAGGAGATGGAGTGTAGATATTCGAGTCTCTTTGCAAGGATCTGGATTTATCTCTGAAAGGGCTACTTGTTGCATTTTCTATGTAGGTAATTATAATAGAAATATAAAATAGTCAAATACTCTTAGTGACTTACATAAATAAATTCTTAATAAGTGAATATAAGATATTTGTAACACGAATAAAACTCATGCCAAAATCAGCAATATATGTAATAGCCATTGCGAGATTATATCTTGAAATACATTCATTGATGTCAATAACAGTGACATACATCATACAATAATTAGATCATTATACATTCATTGAAGATCATAATAGAGAGTTTAAGGGTAGCTAACATGGAATTTAGTACAAAAAACAAAAACACCGAA